GTTTGGGGGAAAAGAGAGAGAAGATCTAGATCCACATTTCCACCAATCACTTTCTCCTCTATGTGAAGGGGACCCCTTGGATCTAGATCTTGGAGTTCTTGGTGTTCTCGTTCTTGTTCTTCCTCTTATTTTCTTCCCTAGCATTTGTTGCTTTGGTGGGGTTTGGGAGAGAAGGACTTGGGCACTTTGTGTGCCCTTGCCATTGCATTTGGTGCATCGGTTTGAGTTCTCCAAGGCGATACGTGGAAGTTACAAGTTGAGAAGCTTATTACTCTTGGGTGCTTGGTACCCTTGAGCATGTTCCTCTTGGGTGCTTGGGCGCCCTAGACGGTTGGTGGTGTTCGGAGCTCAATCATTGTGGTGTAAAGCTCCGGGCAAGCGTCAAGGTCTCCAATTAGGTTGTGGAGATCGCCCCGAGCAATTTGATGGGTACTGATGACCACCCCCAAGGGTTGCCAAAGGGTACGGGTTCGATGACTGCCCCCAAGGGTTGCCATTTGTACGGGTTCGGTGACCGCCCACAAGGGTCCCTTAGTGGAATCACGGCATCTTGCATTGTGCGAGGGCGTGAGGAGATTACGGTGGCCCTAGTGGCTTCTTGGGGAGCATTGTCCCTCCACACTGCTCCAAACAGAGATTAGCATCCGCAAGGGTGTGAACTTCGGGATACATCGTCGTCTCCGTGTGCCTTGGTTATCTCTTACCCGTGCCCTTTACTCATGCACATTACTTTGTGATAGACATATTGTTTCTTGTCATATATCTTGCTATCACTTAGTTGTTTATCTTGCTTAGCATAAGTTGTTGGTGCACATAGGTGAGCCTAGTTGTTGTAGGTTTTGTGCTTGACAAATTAACCGCTAGGTTTATTCCGCATTTGTTAAAGCCTAAACCGTGCCTATTCACCCCCTCCCTCTAGGAGACATCCTCGATCTTTCACCCGGGTCTATATTTTATCATATAATAAAACCAAAAATACCTTGCTGCAATTTTTCCTTATTTATTTTATTTTGTATTTTTGTTCAATCTATCTATCTATCACCATACAATTTAATCTTGCAAGTAACTGCCAAGGGATTGACAACCCCTTGTTCATGTTGGGTGCAAGGATTTGTTATCTTTTGTGCAAGTACTGCTAACGAGGTGTTGCGTGGTTCTTCTACTGGATTGATAACCTTGGTTCTTAATTGAGGGAAATACTTATCTTTACTGTATTGCATCATCATCTCCTCTTCGAGGAAATCCCAACACAGCTCACAAGTAGCAGTCCACTTGGTGTTTGATGAGTCGGTGTGGTGTCCATGGAGATGGCCGAAGGATGCTCCGCATCTAATTGGCTTATGGAAATCATCAAGGAATCACTAGAAAAGTTGAAAAAATTGTTTGATTGTTTGCTTGATTGAGAGAGCAAGTGCAGTAATTTAAATAGCAATTAAAGTAAATAAGTGCAAATCCCAATCCTTATTTGTGCGAAGGAAATGTCGGTTGTGTTTCTTATATTGGCCAAATCGTTCTGGAGGACAGGAGAGTATTTTACCATATTGTTTTCACCTAGTATCGTTAACTATAACTTTTGTTGCTTTGATAAGTGTGTGGTGGAGCCTACACTTATGTACCACCCTACTTGGACTCATACATACTTATGATTATATACTTTAATAAGAATCAACATATACCAAGGATAATTAAGATAACGTCTAACCATGCATAGTGTTAGATTCTAGGGTCCCCATTAATTCGTCATGCAATAGTTTATAAAGTTAGGGCATGGTAATATTTTCCTTTTCTGCCACCCCTCCTAGATAAAATAATATATAATTTTATCCTCTAGGCCCATAGGTGAAGTGACATGCAATTGATGTTTGAATATCACGATTAGAGAATTACACCACAACATAACATCAAAATATCAAACTTGATGCAACTTCATATGGTTACTAACAACATGGGTTCTCCCAAGTCCTCAAGAACATAATAGATTACTCAAAAGACGTCATAATGAACATGAGCAATGGGGTAATTATATGGCTAACAATTTTAACATATAAATCTTTCACCAATAAATCACAATGCACTGACTAACACCGGAAAGTGACCACATTAACCAATCTATAACAAGTACATAGATTGAAAGGGAGATGTAGATGGGGTTGGTGTTGTAGATGGAGTTGGTGAAGGTGGTGTGTATGAAGATGATCCCCACGATGCCTAGAGTGTTAGTGATGACAATGGCTTTGAATTCCCCTGCTCGAAGGGGTTTGATCCCGGCAAAATCAGCCCCCCGGTTGAGGAAAAGTGCTACCCATTTTGCCTTAGTGATAAAAAAATTCCTAGATAGTCAAGTTAGTGTTTTTCCCTGATGTAAGAATAAGGGGACTGGAATGGAGACCACCGGGACCCTACAAGCCCCACACAACCAAGTGGACGCCCTTGGGCCTCGACTCGTGGGGGTGTGGGCTCCAAATGCCAGTCCTAGGCCTGGGACTTTTCACATTGGCTCTTTTTCTTCATGCATTTAGTCTTTATTTCTTCTGGAATTATTCTGGCTTGAGAAAAAAAATATTTTCTTTACTTTGCCTTCGACTGGTCCTGTCTGACAGCTTCTCATTGTCCCCCCCTGTTTGTTCTACACATGCAAAATAAAAGGGGGAAATGGTATAAGAATGATGACATAATATATAAAACATGATTATAAATAAGCAATTTATAATAAAAAAAATAGTGATGCAAAATGAACGTAACAATGTAAACAACCTCTGAGCAGAGTAGCAGACTACGGAAGTACTTTCATCTTGCCGCACAGATTCAAGTCGAATTCAACCTACACACGAGGCAACAAAATAAATACATTATATGCCGTGAGAAACCTTAACTTCCATGAAGTGTATTTTGGGTATTATTTACAACGGAATTTATCCCTTTCCTGTCCTCGACTACGTGTAAAAAAACTCATATTCTAAAATGATATGACATGGGAAATGTTCACTGCATCATGGATTCAATCTGTCCTCTATGTGCATTCTTATGGCCTTTTGCACCATATACAAACCACGAACGCACCCACCCGATTCGTGCTCCTCCGCATCCATATGCACCAGAGAGTGCGTCTTGGTGGGAAAGTACGTGCCTGCACTACGGAGGTCAAGGATCCATCCACGTCGCCGCGCCAAATCCAGCCGTGCAAGGCAGTACGTAGACGTAGCCAAAGCCAACTGACATTGACGAGTCGTAGAACATGATGATGCACACCATCTACACGTCCAAGTGTGCACGTACGGTTAGCGCGGTTGCGCTCAACTGGCGATGGCGGCGAGCCCAAAAGGGGCCCGAGGCGGAACGCCCTTCCCGGAGCATGTTGCACATGCACGGACATATATGGGGCGCCATGACGTGCGCCGGCGCGCGTCTGCGTGGTCCAAAAGTGCACGAAAGAGCTAGTGATCAGATCGGCGATAATATATTCCTCCTCCTATATATGTTTGCTGAGGCGATTATTCCTTGCAAGTGATTGCTTGCTTGCTCACCGGGCACACATGTGTGGGTCGGTCGATTCACAATCACAAGTGGCTTTGTGGTTCCTCAGCTGGCTCTGGCTGTAGGCCTATGGAGGGGTCAGTTGTCGAGTAGGACGGGTCAGCCTAAAAGCAGTAATCATGCATGATTTATACTCGCAAAGTGCACTATCCGTTGATCAGAAAGTGAAAATCGTCAGCTAAATGGATATGCATAGATAGTATGGGTCAAATTAAGACCCATAACCCTAAGGATAATGTCTGGACTTTAGAAGGTCGAAGAGCTTATTATGATCGGTGGGAGAGCCAAATACACAGGCATGCTCTAGCTAGGCCAATGTTTATTTTTGACAAAGGTATACGAGGAAGATTTTGCTCAGGCAGTCTTACAACTTGTGTCAGTTGGTGGGATAACCCGGGATCCGGACCTCGTGACGCAACAGTGCCCTCCAGCACGGCCATGCAATAGAAAAGGTTAAGAAAGACCCGATTTTGCATCTGTCCTCGCAGTCCCAGGCATTGTCCAATTGCCCATCCATCCACTCATCCACATGTAAGTTTTGGCAAGGGAAGAAGAAAAAAAAATCCGTCAAATGTAGACAAACGCAAGAAAAAAATCTGCTCCAGTTGTGGCGGATACGGGGCCTGAGCCGAGCGACTGCAACTCCTCGCTCGTCTTTGCCGTCTCCGCGCAAGTGTGGCGCTCAGGCCACGCCGGCATGGGCCGTGACGCAAAAATCCAAGCCGGGGCGGGGCGAGGCGCGCGGACCAGAGTCGCCGGGGTTTAGCTTGTGGTGGGGTCAACTCGCTCCACATCTTTTTTGTGAAGGACACTCATGGTAGCTCGTTTACTTCCGTACGTGTCCACACACCGTCGCTGTAGAAACGATGATATGGCAAACTATGAAAGTGCCACGGCGCCACAGCGACAATGTGAACCAGAGATCCGTGAGGTAGATCCAAAACGTACACAGCCTATGGAGCTCAGAAGATTCAGCCGGAGGGCTGCTGGCTGGACATGTATACAGCAACGGGCCGTGGGTCCGGAGCCAAGCGTATGTCTGTGGAGAGCGAGGTGGAGGTGGTGCGTGTACGCGTGCGGCACGTACAAAATACTCTTACCGAGCCGAAAACAGAAAGAAGAAAACCGCACCGGGCGCGCGTACAGCCAACAGAGAGACAACGAAACGTAGTAAAATATAGAGGCGCCGCGCGCGAGGGCGCTGCCTCCTTTCCTGCGGCGGGAATAAAACAGAGCACCACCGCCACCTCCACTCTCCAAACGATCTCTCCCCTCCGCCGCTCGCCCGAATAAAAACCCCAGGCCGGCATTGACGCATCCAGCGCACCGCCAATCCGCTATTGCTAAGCAGCACAGTTAAGCTACCGGCGTACACCCCAGGGCTCAGGCAGGCAAGGCAGCTCCGACTTCCGGCAAGACATTATCAAGGAGTTCTTCGTCTTCCTCCGTCCTCCCATCCATCGTGCATGTGAGTTCCTCCTCCTCATCCTCCTCTCTGTCCGCTTGCTTGCTCCCATGATCATCATCCATGCACCAACACCATAAGCTCGCTAGCATCTTAGCTCCTGGCCGCGCTGAATTTCCTCTCTTTTTTCTCATACAATACATTAGAACTCTAACCAAATCAGTACAGAAACCACAACGAGCGCCATCCCTTTCCCGCATATATTCGAGGCCAAATACCGTTTTCCCCGGATCGGTTCGGCTGCCGGGGAGAGGTCGCAAACGAACGCAGACCGAATAGTATAATACGCAATAGTGGCGGTTTGGGTAGCTAGCAGCGCATTCGGTTCTGCCTTCCGTGGTCGGGAGCGCAAGCTACAGAGATGCGTTCCGTGCCCGCCAATCCCTCTCTCTTCCTCTGATTCCTCCTTCTTACAGCCCGCCGGGTAACCCGAGAGGTAGGATCGGATTCTGTACCGCGACGTTCAGCTTCGGCCGGCCGTACGTGGATCTAATTAAGGTGCGTCGTCAACGATGCTTTTCTCACCCTCTCCAATTAAGATTCTAAGCGCGGTCTCTAGCGGTAAGATTCCTATGCTTTTCCCATTTAGTGGCTGGGATAAATGGGAATCTCTAAGTTCATGTAGCAGTCTAGCAGATAGATTAGCAGAATGGAAATATCTAGTAGTAAGCTTAGAAAAGGTTCTCCATATCATTCAGAGAATATGTGCAAGCAGAAAGGAAAGGATGGGATTATTGATTGCTTGGAAAGAAGATCCTCCCTAGCTTTACACAAAATTTAGAATTTACCTAGTAACCTGGTTTGTAATACAAAAAGGACTACATAGCTATCCATGGTTGCTTGCCACCAGCAGCAACTTCGCCGCACGACAGAGAATAGGACATGACTAAGCAAAGAAAGCCCTAAGCAACCCTCCCAGACAAACTTGCAGATTTTTAACAAAGATTATGTATTGCTCTAAGCGCAATTAATTAGCGATAATACATAAGATCTCCCTACAAATTGAGCGTCAGATTTTTGACCATGGCAAATCAAACGCTTTTGATGGTCAATTATGTTGTCCTGTGGATGGCAATTTCGGTTAGCAAGCATGCCAAATCCTGAGAAAAATGATTTGGCGTGCTTGCTAAAACAAATTGCCTTTCTCACGACAACATAATTTGCCATAAAAAACGTTTGATTGTACATTCCTGTGATATGTATTCCCGATGAACGAATTCAACCTGTCTCTCTTTCCTTTCCCCCCTTCCTTCTCCTCGCCACTATCATTTGTACGCTTTGCTTTGCGGCTTTGCTCTTTTTTGCTCTTTTGTTTTTCCATTCCACAAACATATCGGCCGTCCAAAGCTCCACATGACAGGCACAGAAAGAAAGAGAGCCATGTGCGACTGTGCATCCTCCTCAATCCTATGACTACTCATGCACGGAGCTTTCTTTCTCTCTTTATTTACCTCCATCTGTGACCGGCCCTAATCTTCCTTTAAAGGCAAGCTTTGCTGCTACACATAAACGCATACATGTAGTAACATGCATGTTCTCTGGTCACTGTCACTCCACTCACGCCTTGCTTTCCCTTTTTAATCATCCAGATCAAATTGGATACCACTCTATGTATGTATGTATGCAGCTTTGGCACAAAACCTTTGATGATTCAGCAGCAGTCGTTCAACACAACACCACAATCCTAGCCGTTGAAAGGGAAACGAGTAAGCAGTGAAAATCAATTAGCAAGCCGTTTTGTTTTGCCACACAATTACTCAGGTGGTAGTAGTAGTTATTGGTTTTTTTTAACCGAGTAGCCGTAGTTTGCCGGTCGTTAGTCACGCGGGGTCGATAAAAAATTTGGTGGTCAACCGGAGTCAAACTTGGGAGTGATGGCAGGCACAACAAAATCATATTTCTGTCCAAGCAAAGCGGCTTAGAACGGTCCTAATTTGGCGATAAAAAAAGCATGCCCGGGACGTCACTCCGTTGAGAGGGAGTAAAAAAGTAACACATCGTTTTCGCTCACGAGCTAGCCGATCCGCGCGCCTATTCATAGACGATCCACGGAAGCGTACGCCACGGACAATCTCGTGACCCTGCTCGTTCATGTCCGCAGGAAAGCCGGCACAGCTATAGCAGCACTCGTCCATTGGTGCTCGTTCTTGCGATCAAGCGATCGGTCGATGACGCTTGACGGCGGCATGCCAGCCACCACCGACGGCGCCGGCGTGCCCCCGGCCGCAGAGAGGGGCGGCAGCGGCTGCGGTGCCCGCGTGGCGCCGGAGGTGGTGGTGGAGCGGGATGGCGGTAGCGGTGCCGGCGCTACAATCCCTGCGACGGAGAGGGCTGCCGCCGTGGCGATCCCTGCGATGGAGAGGGACGGCGGCGGCTCTGCCGGCGTGGCGCCGACTGAGGCGGAGAGCGACGGCGGCGGGAGGAGCTGCGGCGAGCACTGCGTCATCCAGGTGGTGGAGGAGTCGTGCTGCGCGCGGTGCGTGTGCGTGGGCCCGAACCCGATGATGGCGCGGTACGTGTACGCGCTCATCTTCCTGGTGACCAACCTGCTGGCCTGGACGGTCCGCGACTACGGCCACTCGGTGCTGGGCGAGCTCCGGCGGCTCAAGGGCTGCCAGGGCGCGCGCTACTGCCTGGGCGCCGAGGGCGTGCTGCGCATCAGCCTCGGCTGCTTCCTCTTCTTCTTCGTCATGTTCCTGTCCACCATGAAGACGCGGAAGGTGCACGACTGCCGCAACTCGTGGCACTCCGAGTGGTGGCCCGTCAAGATCGTGCTCTGGATGGCCCTCACCGCCGTCCCCTTCTTCGCGCCCTCGCCGCTCATCCAGCTCTACGGTCAGTCCCAAACCAGCTCCCAAGCAGAAATAATTAAAGCTTCATTTAATTGCTGTTGCTGATCGACGTTGGTGTTTATTTGTCTGAATATTCTCAGGGAAGGTGGCACATTTCGGAGCAGGGTAAGCTACTTACATCTCATCTTGGCTGCCTTTTCTCAGACAATAATTACCTTGTTCTTCAGTCACATTCTTGGAGCATGTGACTGATCAGCTTGCCTCCGGGGTTAAATGAACTGCAGGGCGTTCCTCGTGATCCAGCTCATCAGCGTGACCAGGTTCATCACGTGGCTCAACGACTGCTGCCGATCGGAGCTGAACCTCAAGAGATGGTGCGTGGTGCCGCTACCTTTTTCCTCCTCTGTCTGTCTGACCAAGTTGCTGCGAAATCTGCTCGATCTAACGAACGACTGGGGATGGATGTTGCAGCCACATGCAGGTGCTGGTGGTGTCGATCGTGACGTACGTGGGGTCCATCCTGGGGATCGTGCTCATGTACATCTGGTACGCGCCCACGTCGGCCTGCAAGCTCAACATCCTCTTCATCACCGTCACCCTCGCGCTGGTGCAGCTCATGACATTCGTCTCCGTCAACTCCAAGGTGCTTAGTCAAGCTGAATGGCGTCGTCTCAGTTCTATGATCGGTCTCGTAAGAATTGCGTTCTGACCTGTCAGTTAAATGATGATCAGGTGAAGGCGGGGTACCTGGCGCCGGGGCTGATGGGGATCTACATCGTGTTCCTCTGCTGGTCCGCGATCAGAAGGTGAGACAGAGAGATGAATTCAGCCATGTCTGCTAAACAACGTATACTTATTAGTTAGTCCATTTCGTAATATGGGAGCTGCTTGCTTACATCTTCTTTGCATGGTGAAATTTACAGTGAGCCGCACACGGAGATGTGCAACAGGAAAGCAGCGGTCGCGACGAGCGCAGACTGGCTCAACATCGCGGTAAGAACCCAGTCTCTCTTCAGTGATATAGTACTACTGTACTAATAAAGTGGAAATTTAGCAGAGGAGGCAAACATGCCATCAGTTTTATTTAGTTGCTCTACTTGCTAGCCTTATCTGAAAATAGGTGATAACCATGTATGTACTGTTGGCAGAGCTTCGTGATCGCCGTGATCGTCGTCGTCGCGGCCACCTTCTCGACAGGGATAGACTCAAAGTGTATCCAGTTCAAGAGCGCCGAGACGGAGTCCGAGGACGACGACATCCCGTACGGGTTCGGCTTCTTCCACTTCGTGTTCGCCATGGGCGCCATGTACTTCGCCATGCTCTTCATCGGCTGGAACGCGCATCAGGAAATGGAGAAGTAAGGGGCTGTTTGGTTCTAGACAAGGGGAAAACACACTGACAGATTGCAGTCAGAACGTTCAGACTTTGGTCGCTAGATGTTCCCGATGTGAGAACACTGATGGTTGATTAGTGCGCGGCCAGTCTGATCCCCAGGTGGACGATCAGACAGAGAAAAAACACGCTGACAGACTGAACTGACTGACTGCAAGATCAGAATGTTCCTGATCTGAGAACATTGAGTAATTGATTAACGCGTTGTCTGATTTCATCCTCAGGTGGACGATCGACGTGGGCTGGGCGAGCACGTGGGTGCGCGTCGGCAACGAGTGGCTGGCGGCGATCACGTACAGTAAGTGTGAACGCCATTGTTGAACTGAAGTTTTCTTCTGTATTCTGGAAGAAACTGTTCATAATTTGTTCGTGTACATCTACTGACGAATGGACAATTTGCGCTTCTTGTAGTATGGATGATCGTCGCTCCGATCGTGTGGAAGCGGAGGCAGGTGGGGTCCTCGTCCACGTGTGCGTGAGCGAACGTTTTATTCTCGCTCGTGCTAATTACCTACTGAAGAACAGCTAATCTACAAGAAAGAAAAGAGAGAAGTAGGGAGCTTGACATGACGCTACTTCGCTTACACGACGCATGGACGGATGATGATGATGATGATGATGATGACGATCAAGAAGTGTTGGTCAGTCGCTCGTTTTTTGCCCAAGTTGGAGGTAAAAGAGAGTGGGAGAGAAAGGAAAGAGCCGAACGTGTTCCTCTTTGTATATAAGGCCAATTTTGCTTTGTGGCCGTTGCAGATAAAAACTAATTCTTTTGGAGTTGAGTTGATTGTATATTCTCACTCCGAAAAGAAATATTTACCAAGGAAACAACTCGTGACCGAATTTCAAATTCCTTGTGGGTGCCGACATGTTTGCGCCTGGAAATTTCAGGTCCAAATTCCTTGTGGGTGCCGAAATGTTTGCGCCTGGAAATTTCAGGTCAAAATCTTCTATATCTAAATAGGGACACCCCACTAGATGATTTTTCTAGATCCTCGTGAAGCCACGTCATCTGAATTGTTGCAGCCATTGATGTGGTATAGATCAGCAATCAGCAGCCGTTTGATCGGAAGTTGATGAAAATTACTGAGCTTGCCACCGCTAAGTGAAAAGTACCGCTTCGTTCTATCGCGCAGTTCCGCTGTGGCTGCGTGCCTCGTAGCGCTCCGGCTCGATTTTATTTTTTCGAGACAATTGGCTCGATTTGTTTTTGCTGGGATGTGCGTTTAAGCCGACAACTGAGCTGGCATCCAATAAATTGTACATGGAAACTGGCTTTGTCATTGGTGTGCCAGCCCATATAGGCCTGGCCAGCTTAGTACTAGCGTGAGCCCATGTAATTGCTCGATCAGGCTTCATCTTCCTTGCTCCAAGTTCGCTCGCAGACATTGTCCGTTCGTCTCGCTGCCGCTGTCTCTTCCGCTCCCCGCCCCGACGGACGTGCATGCCGCTGTCTCTTCCGCTCCGTAATAAATTATCCTCCTCACTCTCTGTCTACCTAAACCAGTTATCCTCCTTTCCCTTCCTCTACTTGGCACGAAAGAAACTGATACGGATCCTCATCTTCGCTGCGACACCAGCAAACGACCACTACTGTTTGGCTCATGATGTTCGGTCACCAAACCTAAATCGTGGTGAGCTCCTCTATTAGTTTCTCCCTCTCTTATTCAAAGGAGCTGCGGTTCCCTCACCATGCTTGCCATTGGTGTCGCCGTAGTCCATATTAATCCCTTCTTTTCATGTGGTCCATGATTGCAAGACTGAAGCAGACTTAATTTCTCTGATGAGGTTGTGTTTTGAATTTGGCTTGGGATTTTGGGCTAGCCCCATAATCAGTTTTTCTTGAATCATTTGCTTATGTTATTTCACTGTAACAAGGAGCTCAGGATCATGTTTATCTACTATTATTGGTTCAGAAATAATCTATAGTGCCATCCTCGCATTGGTTTTTGCAGGCAGCTAGAAATCATCGTAATATGTGAATCGTATGTACTACCATGTTCATATAGGTGACACACCGGGAATGCAAAAAGGTATATAATTCATCCGCGCCGTGTTTCATCAGTTTTCAGCTATACTTTGTTTCTGCACCAGTCTTCGTTTCCTCATATTCAGGTGCTCAGGTGCACAACTTCCATAAACTGCACATGTGGAGTACAGCTATTCATCAACTCTTCATTTTGGATTGAGCTGCAGTAAATGGTCAGTTACTAATTCCTGTGATTGTTCTTCTAAACAAGTCCCTTAAAATAACTCTTTTTGTTTCCTCTACCAGACAGAGCAATCGAGATCTCATTACTTTACCCATGTCCCTTCAATTCTATTAGTCAGATCGAGCCATCACTCGCACCAATGAAAGCAAGCAGGAACTCATTGGATTTTTTGAGCTGCACTTCTATATCATTTGCATCGGTGTCCCGGCAAGGTAAATAGGATTCCATAATTCATGGTTTATCTTAATTCCCTAATTCATTCCTTTTACTTTCTCAAATCTGAAAGTATATGTTATTATTGATGGATGTTCACCTTTTTTGCTAAAAGATAAATATTCAGCTTGATCATGAGTAAGCAACCAATTAGCCATCATAGTTCATATTGAATAATCTATGCTTCTACAAATCATTATCTATGTTGCGGATGTTGTTGATAGAAGTTTTGGTCTATACATCGAACACTGGTGTCCATGTTATTTCTGTATGCAGTCAATAACTTTTTTGTTTTGTCCAGTTAGTGAAATCAATATACATATATTTTAGTTCCACAAATACGTTTAAACTATTTCATATTTATCTCATGGTTTTGTAAGCATAGTTATATTTATGATACTACATGTCTACATACAAGTCCATTGGAGGACTAATTTCACGTGCATCTTCCATCTGAGTAGGTACAAATTTAACTTCACTATTACTATTGCTCTTGCATTAGTTGAGCAGTTCCAAAACTTCTATTTCTTATACAATACATTGCTCAGTAAAATTTTAAATATGCTTGGGGCAAATTTGGGATGAAGCTAAAGGCGTTGTTCTTTTCCAAAACCACTTTAGGCCAGCTAAGTATCAAATATTAGTATAAGTACTAATTTGTTTTGATGGTTATTATACAAATCTTAATTTGTTTTTCTCGAGGGAGAAACCTAATATGAATACTAATTCTTTGTGAGGATGTAACAAACTGTACTTGCAGTCGATGTCACTTTTATTTTTTCCATGTCTTTTTCTCTTGGGAAGTGTTTGTTCAAAGCTTTTTATAAAATGCATGAAGTGCCGCAGCAACGCGCGGGGAATCTTCTAGTTCTTGAAATGTTTGACAACAACATGTTGGAATAGTTTCGATGTCTCGACGAGGACATAAATATATGAAAATCACTGCTTAAGAGGTACCCTTTAGACTCAGACTACCGACTCTCTTTTCTCCCTTCTCTCCGTTCTCTCTCCATCTCCTACCCTTGAGCGTCGCCGTCGTCCTCCCGGCTCCCCACATTTCCTTCTCCGGCAGCCTTGCCGGTACAAGTGGGGATGGGTCGGGAGGCCGAATCTCTTCTGTTTATAGTAGCGCAGCAAGCATGCCCGTGCATTGCAACGGAAGAAGAAAAATATATCACATGCTAGTAGATGTTGTCTATCATGCTTTATATTCGCTTGATGCTACATTTTGAGTCAATAAAAATGCCCCTTATCGAAAAGATGTGTGAGTGTGTTGCTACGGTTTGATTTTTATTTTATTTTTAGGCCATGGAGAATCATGATAAGCCTAGTCTTTATTTGGGCTAGTTAGCACATTTAGAATTATCGTTGCGCTGACCATGGAGTGTAGAGATCAAGAAGCCTACTCATTTCCCCATGGGCTCTGTCATAATAGGGCCAAGGATGGGGTGACTCTCAGAGACGACGCATTTTTTCCGAAAAGGGGGTTTGCCCCAGTCTCTGCATCAGAACGGTGCATACAGCCATATTATTGATAACCAAAAAGGTCCAACATAGGTCTCGAGGTCTCAAACAAAAAGGAAAATTGCTCACTAAGAGCCTGAAAGCAAAAACAGGATAGCGACAACCGGCAGGCAAAATAAAAGATAGGAAACTAAACATCTATCCTATTACATGACCGTTATCCAAATCGGTTGAAGATATTCCGTGCTACCATCTCCCATCAGATGGATCTAGTAACCAAATGCTCCCTGGCCTCCGTCGGAGTGAGTAGCGACCACATACAAATGAGTGTAGTAGCCCTAAAAATAACCTGCAAGAAATGAATATTTGTTGTTCTGTTAAAAACCAAGTCGTTTCTGCAGTTCCAAACATCCCATAATAAAGCACAAACTCCTGCAGTTCCAAACAACCCATAATAAAGTACAAACTCCTACACGGATGTGCCTCGCTGTTTCCGCATCAATCTCATCTAGTCACGTCCCAAATAACGTGTTGATGGAATTCGGAGGAGTAATATTAAAAGTTGTGTGGACCGACCTCCACAATTTTTTTGCCAAAGGGCAGTCGAGAAAGAGGTGTTTGATTGATTTATCACTATCACAAAAACTACATCGTTTAGATCCAGTCCAGTTGCGCTTAGCCAAATTGTCCTTAGTAAGGATAACTTGTTGTGGACAAACCACATGAACACTTTGGTTTTTAAAGGCACTTTGACTTTTCAAACATGTTTCGAACTAGGAAGAACACTAGTGTTGATAATATCCAAATACATGGACTTAACCAAAAACTCACCACTCTTTGTTAATTTCCAGCGCAACTGATCGGATTGTTGAAAGAGGTGGACATCCATCAATCTTCTCATCAGATGGAGCCATGCTTCCCAACGGTTTCCCGCTAGCGTCCTCCTGAATTGAATATTCAGAGGATTGTACTGTAATACTGTTGCAACGTACGCGTCTCTTCGCTGAACAATATTATAGAGAGAAGGATTGGATCGCAAGGGGCGTCTCCCCTAGCCATGTATCCTCCCAGAATCTTGTGGACGTACCATTTCCAACCACAAATTTTGTCCTGTTAAAAAAGGTTGATTTCACTCTCATCAGTCCCTTCCAGAAAGGCGAATCAGTCGGTCTTACCGTCACCTGGGACAAGGTTTTGGAATGAAGGTACTTATTACAAAGAATCCGGGCCCAAGTGGCATCCGTCTCTACAGATAACTTATATAGCCACTTGCTAAGAATACATTTGTTCTTCACCTCTAAATTTTCAATGCCAAGACCCCCTTGATCTTTCGGCCTACAAATGATATCCCACTTAGCGAGTCTGTACTTTCGTTTTAATTCATCACTCTGCCAGAAGAAGCGCGGTCGGTAGAAATCTAGCCTTTTCCGTACTCCAACTGGTACTTCAAAAAAGGACAAAAGAAACATAGGCATACTTGTGAGAACCGAATTGATCAGAATCAATTGTCCTCCATATGACATAAGCTTGCCCTTCCAGCAGCTCAGTTTTGTTTTCAAATCGATCTTCAATGCACTTCCACTCCTTGT